TTCATGCTTAACATCAAGGCAGAACTAAGCAGTGGTTACTTTGGAAGAAGGACTAGAAACTTTAGAGAGTGGAACTCAGAGGTGATGACAAATGAGTCTGTGGATTAAGCACTGGGCTACTAGCCCATGAGGAGCTGTTTTAGACTGAGTTCTCCAGAGAAACAAAACCAGTCAAGCTTATAGAAGTATACATAAAGAAAGGTATATATCAAGAAAATGACTCACACGGTTGTAGAGGTGGGCAAGTCCCAAGTCTATGGGTCAGATACAAGGCTGGAGGTTTCTGGCTCATGTAGCTGCAGGACTGATGAACCAAGATGGGCAGGTCAGAAGGAAGGCAGGCAGGTCAGATGGCAGGCTGCTGATGACTCCCAGGAACAGCAGACAATAGGACAAGTTACTGACTCAAGTCCAAAGAACCAGAGATTGGATGATGAGCCAGGTACAGAATCCAGACCCATAAAAATGCAAGAAAGCTTTACCTGAGTGTTAGTATATTGGAAGTGGGCCACAACCCCAACTGAAACTTCATTTCAATTGATTGGCTGCTCATAGCAAATCCCATCATAGGGGATTACTATGCCTTAACTGCTAAGCCCCTGAGAATCCTGGCCGAGTCAGGTTGACACAAAATCTTAACTATCACAGGTTTTGCATATTCCCCTCTGATCTCTGGAAGGAACAAGACCTATGCCTGTCCCAGGTGTGCCCACCACCTATTTTGCCTCCCTTCACAAAGCTCCCTTCATTAAGCCCTACAAACTACTACTCTCAGCTGACCTCACTAAAGATATGTTTCTTAAAACTGCAGTCACTGCCCTTTTGCCCTTTTCCTTCTGAAGGCTATTTGCAGCTGTGCTCTAAGGGAGAGATGGTCCTAAAGCAAAGCAATCAACTCCATGTAGAAACACATCCTGGTTAAAAAAGATAAACCAAGAATAACAAATCGCAGGAAGGAATTCTGAGGATGTTGCCCAACATGCTTTTAGCTAGTGACCAACTCCCTCTACATAACAAGTCCAGATGAGGCACACATGAGCCCAGCTCAATGCCCACAAGGGTAAGAGGCCAAGAAGGAAGAAGAGTCCTGCCTCCCAAAAGCTTATTCCGGGGGCGGGGGTGGGAGGTGGGGAATAAGGGACACTCAAGGACTCCTGAATTAAGAGCAAAATCAAGGGTGTGGCTCAGAGTAAGGTATGTTTTTAGGGACAGAAATCATGGTCATTTCTGGGAACAACAATGGTTGCTGAGGCTCCAAGGAAGAAGACAACATGGACAGATTGTTTACAGGGTCATAGACCCTCGCCCCTTCTCTTGGCATACCCAGATGCCCATGCTCAACTATAGCAGTGAGCCTCTGTGAACGTAGCATATGTCAGCCCAATAAGGATCAGGCCCATGATGCTGTTAGGCAGCAAGTAGGCCAAGCCTGACACCTTTGGAGAGTTTGGGAGGAATCAGGAGTCATGGTGCCTTTAACAATTCACTGGAGATGCCCTGGTTTGTACCTTTAGGTACCAGGGCAGAAGAGTCACTCTCAACTGGGTCTTCAGCTGGCTACATGTTCCCAGAGCTCCCCAAGATTTTTCTTCTCCCCAAACAAGCCCAGGCCCAGTTTTCTATGCTATCCAGGTGGCCTTTTAACTCCCAAATTCCCACCCACAAAATGAGTTGTCCGATATTTTACAGTCTTCTTGGGCAAGGCCTGCACTGTAGACTATTCCATTTCTCTGAAATAGGGAGCAAGGGGTGTGTTCTGCTTTAATGGCCACAGTTAAATGTTTCATGGGCAAAAACTGAAAGAAAAAATTATAAAGTGGCCAGATCACTTTATAATCATTCTTCTGGCTTCTGCATAATTGATACCCCTTATGCACTTTTCATGATCTAATTTATCTACCTCCTAAAATATTTTGTAAAACCTGAGTCCCATCTGTAATGATCTATGTCCCATTATAAAGTCTCCCCAAGGATTTGCTACCCAAGCTGTTTTTGTGGGCATAAACTGAGTTGTATTAGGTGGAAGTCAATATGTTTCTAAGCAAGGATGGAGACTTGATGGGTCTAAATTTATCTAGCCTTGGCTTGGAAAGTATAATCAGGAGAAAGGAAGGGACAGGGAGTAAGAGCTCAGCCTCACTTGTAGAGGAGAGGCTGAGGGATTACAGGCAGGTACAGAGCACCTGTAGGATCTCATTTGGTGGTGGAAGTGGTTATAGTAATAATAACCATAGTGGCTACCACTTGTTGAGCACTATTAAGTGCCAAACACTCTGCTAGCACTTTCCAGAAATTATCTCATTTATTCCTCACCCACAAAGCAAGGACTATTCTTACATCACAGAAAAGGAAACTAAGGCTTCATGGAGTATCTTTCTCAAGGTCCCATTGATGTTTTTGTTGTTGGTAGGTGCTATCAAGTCAGTTCTGAATCATAGTGACCTTTATACACAATATAACAAAATACTTCCCAGGTCTGCACCATCCTCACAATTGTTAAACTTGAGGCCAATGTTGCTGCCACTGTGCCAATCCAGCTGGTGGGCTTCCTCTTTTTTGCTGACCTTCGACTTTACCTAGCATGATGTCATTCTCCAGGGACTGGTCCCTCCATAATGTGTCTGAAGTATGAGAGAAAAAGTCTCACTATTTAGCTTCTAAGGAGCATTCTGGCCATACTTCTTCTACTACAGATTGGTTTGTTCTTCTGGCAGTCCATGGTACTTTCAACATCCTCCTCCAAAACCACAACTCAAATGCATCAATTCTTCTGTGGTCTTCCTTATTCATTGTCCAACTTCCATGTTTATGAGGCTATTGAAAACATCATGGCTTGGGCCAGGTACACCTTAGTCCTCAAACTGAAAGCTTAGCTATTGAAACTTGAAAGAGGTTCTTATGCAACAGATTTGCTTAATGCAATATGTTGTTTGATTTCTTCACTGCTACTTCCATGAGTGTTGATTGTTGATCTGAGCAAAATGAAGTATTTGACAACTTCAATCTTTTCTCCAATTTTATCTTGATGCTATTTATTGGTCCCGTGGTGAGGATTTTTGTTTTCTTTACATTGAGAGGCAACCCACACCCAAGGCTGTGCTCTTTGATCTTCATCAGTATTTTAAGTCCTCATGGCTTTAAGCAAGCAAGTTTCTATCATCTACATATCGCAGGTTGTTAATGAATGTTCCTCCAATCCTGATGCCATGTTCTTCTTCATATGATCAAGCTTCTCAGATTATTTGCTCACTTTACAGATTGAACAAGTATAGTGAAAGAATACAACCCTGGCACACATCTTTCCTAATTTTAAACCAGTCAGTGTCCCCATATTCTGTTCGAACAACTGCCTCTTGGTCTGTGTACAGGTTCCACATGAACACAATAAAGTGTTCTGGAATACTCATTCTCTGCAGTGTTGTACATATCTTGTCATGATCAACAAGTTCATGGGGGGAGTCCTGGTGTGGTGCTGTGGGTTAAAGCGCCAGACTGCAAAGCCATTTGAACTGCAAGGTTGGCGGTTCACGCTCACCAGCAGCTCCTGGGAAACCCTATACAGGGTCACTATGGGTTGGAACTGACTTGATGGCACTTAACAAAAGTTTTTGCATACTCAATAAAGCACAGCTAAACATCTTTCTAAGGAGCTCTGGTAGCGTAGTGGTTATGAATCCAGCTGTGAACCTCAAGGTTAGCAGTTCGAAACTACCAGCTGTTTCATGGGAGAAAGATGAGGCTTTCTGCTCCCGTAAAGATTTACAGCCTCAGAAACTCTGTACAGGGTCTCTATGAGTCGGAATCGACTCCATGGCACATAACAACAACAACAAAAACATCTCTCTGGTATTCTCTACTTTCAGCCAAGATCTATCTGCAAGGCCCCATAGTTAAATAAGAGAGATGGCATGCAAGCACAAACAAGCAGTCTAACTGAGAGCCCAGGCTCCTACCCTCTGCACCATTCTATACTTCTAGGTAAGTCTGGTTGCTAAAACATTGAAGTTCCATGTAACCAGAAGCCCTGCATTTCAATAGCCAATTGGTGAGCCTTTTAAGGGAGAGTTGCCAGATATGGTTCAAATTAAAAAATAATAATAATAATAATAAAAGCAAAAACAGAATTCCCAGTTAAATTTGAATTTCAGATAAACAATATTTTTTTTAAGTGTAAGTATGTCTCAAATGTTGCATCAATATTGGAAACATACTTACACTGCTATAGTTTATTTGAAATTCAAAGGTAACTGGGTATCTCATATTTTTAAAACCTTTTATTGTGAATTGAGTGAAGGTTTACAGAGCAGAACAACAGTTTTACATTCAATAAGTCATATTTTTTATTACCATGATTGCAATCCCCTTCATGTACCATCAGTTAACAGTATTTCCCTCTGTTCACTTTAACTCTTTGTTCCTCCTTGTGTCTCCCACTAACTTCATCTTTCCTCCGCCAACCTCCTTTTTGTTGAATATTACTTATCACATCACCCATGCAAACATGTGTTTATCATCTAGGCTATAAATAATTTTCCCTCACCACCCCATAACCATTATAGAATTTTTATTTTATCAAGAAACCCTTTACTGCTCTCTTCCTCTGCATTGCCTATGGAGGAGGCAGCCATCTCGACCAGCATTATGGCTGCCCTCAGACCCCTGGTGAAGCCCAAGATCGTCAAAAAGAGGACCAAGAAGTTCATGGGGGGAGTCCTGGTGTGGTGCTGTGGGTTAAAGCGCCAGACTGCAAAGCCATTTGAACTGCAAGGTTGGCGGTTCACGCTCACCAGCAGCTCCTGGGAAACCCTATACAGGGTCACTATGGGTTGGAACTGACTTGATGGCACTTAACAACAACAATGCTCAAATGCCTACTCGAAACAGATAAACATTTTTAGGTGCCTTGCGATACAATAGCGAATAAATGTTATCAGGACTGATTGTAAAAGGGCTGGAAATGTAAAGGTGGACGTTTTGGGGCAAAGGGAGGAGAGTGATTAACCTTACAGTCTAGGAACGGAGGTCCCTGGGACCAACAAAGAAGAGCAGAGAACAGAAGCCTACCTAGAGAAGCAGTGATACCAGGGATGGAGGCAGAGATGATGACATGAGGAGATGGAGCGGCTGGAGACTTTGGACCTGGAGAGAGAGAGAGAGGGGCTGTGTGCGAACGACAGGGGGGCAGGCTGGCGGGGTATACCCTTTGGTTGATCGATGATGCATGGAAGGGATTGTAACCATGGCAAGGAAACGATATACGACGGGATAAATGTGAAGCTGATGTTCTCCCATGTAAACTATCACATAATTCACAATAAAGCATTTTCAAAAAAAGCTCATCCAGCACCAATCAGATCGTTATGTCAAAATTAAGAATAACTGGCACAAGCCCAGAGGCATTGACAACAGAGAACGGAGAAGATTTAAGGGCCTGATCTTAATGCCCAACATTGGTTACGGGAGCAACAAGATGACAAAACACATGCTGCCCAGTGGCTTCTGCAAGTTCCTGGTCCACAACGTCAAAGAGCTGGAGCTGCTACTGATGTGCAACAAATCTGACTGTGCAGAGATTACGCACAACGTCTCCTCCAAGAACCGAAAGAGCAGCCCAGCTGGCCATCAGAGTCACCAATCCCAATGTCAGGCTGTGCGGTGAAGAAAATTGAATAGACAGCCTGTTTTCAAGTTTTATTTGTGCTAAATAAAACCATAAAAATGCTGCCAAAAAAAAGAAACCCTTTTCTTAATTTTTCACCAGTGGTCGCATACAACATTTGTCCTTTTATGATTGACTAATTTCACGGAACATAATGTTCTACAGATTCATCCATACTGTGAGCTGTTTTGCAGATTTATCATTCTTCAATATTGCACAGTATTTCCATTGTGTGTATGTACCAAATCATTCTTCTGTTGATGGGCATTTAGGTTGTCTCTACCTTTTTGCTATTTTTTATAGTGCTGCTGGTTTATTTTTTGCAGATAATTTTCTGCACTGTGTTTATTTTGCTTGTGGGTTTTCTTTGCATTTTTATTTCTGCTGTGTTAATATTAATTAAATCTTTCTGATTTTCCTCTTTTTTATTTTGATGTCAAGGTGTATTCATTTTTTTTGAGGTTGCCCTGTAATTTATTAATTTTTCCCCATTTAAAACAATTTGTCTTATCTTGAAATCTACTTGATTTCCTTGTCATTTGGAAGCCCTGTTTCTACACAATTCCCTCTGTTTGTTTTGTAGTCTACTTCATTATAAATTGATATTTCTAGTTCCCTTTTTTTTTCAGTCTTGTAGATTTGTTTTACTTTAAATACTTCTATATTTGGATTGAGTTCTAGGTGATGTTGTCGTGAATAGCAACTCAGGTTGTTGTCTCCTGTTGTTTGTTCTCAGATCAAAGAGCACCTTTTGGTATTTTTTTGTAAAGTTGGTCTAGTTATTTCAAATTTCTTCAATTTCTGTATACCTGGAAATGTTTTAATTTTGCTGTTGTATTTGAAGGACAGCTTTGTTGGTTATGTGATTCTTGGTTGGCAAATTTTTCTTTCAGAGTTTTGTATATGTTATCCCATTGCCTTCTAGGTTGCATAGTTTCTGCTGAGAAATCAGACCTAGTCTATTTGGTTCTCCTTTGTAGGTATCTTTCCTTTTTTCCCAAACTGCTCTCAGGAGTCTTTCCTTGTCTTTGGTTTTGGAGAGTTTGATTATGATATTTCTAGGTGATTTTCTTTAGGGATCTATCCTGTTTGGGGTTCATTCAGTTTTTTTTATACTTATCATCTTTCTTGATGTTAGACAAGTTTTCTTTCAACAACTCTTTGACAATTTCTCTATTTTTATCTTCTCTTCCTGTTCTGGAATTCTGATCACCTGTAAGTTATTCTTCCTCATGGTGCCCTACATAACTCTTAGGCTTTCTTCGGATATTTTTTCATTCTTTTTCCTGATTGTTCTTCTAGCATACTAGTATGAGAGCTTTATCTTCATGCTCACTAAGTCAGCCTTTCATTGTTTCAAAATTACTCCTTTGCCCTTTCAATGTATTATTCACTTCTAAAATCTTAGTTTTGATTTTCAGGATTTCTAATTACAGGTTTTGTATTGTTTCAAAATTTGCATTTCTGGGTTCCCAACATTTAATGCACTAGACTGTAAGATTTTTTGAACTGCAAGGTTAGGGGTTCAAGTTCACCAGCTGCTCCTTGGAAACCCTATACAGGGTTGCTATGAGTCAGAACAGACTCAACAGCACTTAACAACAATAATTTATATAGCAACTCTATTTTGGGAGCACTCACCATGTGTCCAGGCCTGTGCTAGTGTCCTCAGAACAACAGAAGGCTGCCCTCAGAGAATCTAGGCTGCTGGCAGGAAACAAGATGGGGATACCCAAACAAACATGGAAGGAAGGTCATGGGCTTCAGATGGGAGAGATTTCCCAAGGAACACTTCAAGGAATGGCTGTCCAGTTTACTTATCCAAGTCTACATACTCCTTCCACCATTACCCACTGTCATTCTGGGCCTGTACTTACTCTGTCCTTCCCACCTGGGAACTCTCTGTCCACTCCAAACCCTAGCTTTGCTTGAGCATCCAGCTCAGCCCCACTTTCTCCAGGAAGTCTCCACCCACCCCTGCCCCACATACCAATCTTGCCCTTGCTGGACCATTCTTGGCACTCATCTCTTAGACCACACATCTGTGCACTGTGTTATTTATTGAGCACATAGCATAGGGCTTGGAATATAGTTGGTGTTCAGCAAATGCTCGTTGAATGAATGATTGAATTAATGCTCCTGTGGATTTGGAGAAGGGGACTTGCCAGAAGAGATAAAGTAAAAACTTCTGAGCAGGGCATACGATGTGTCTCCCTGTGTGTCCCACCCACCACTACCACCCCACCTAGTTCAGGGCCTGGGTTAGAGCAGACATTGAATAACTACTCTGACCCAGGGAGAGATGGATATAACCTGGAGAGGAAGGAAGCACAATGGGGAAAGTACAGGCCTGGGAACACTACTCAGGCTCCCAGTGATGGCTTACTCTAGGATTTTGACAAGTCACAAACCAGGTTGCTTCAGCTTCCTTAGATTAGACAGACACTGTACTCTGACTGCCTTTGTTGTAAGGATTATGTGATCATAATATTTCTATCTTCCCACAAGGCAAGGCATGTGGTAAATCTGGAATTGTGACTGATTTGAGGCCCTCATCCTTGGCTAATTCCATTCCCAGTCTAATCCCTGAGTCTGGTCTTGCCACTGCCCCTGGCAGTGACAAACCCCCTCTTCTCAAGAACCTTAGCCATGAAGCAATGCTCCCATCGACATGGCTTTTCCAAGTCTAGCCTCTCTAAGCAAAGGCCAAATAAAGATGGATAGTCTCTCGCACACAGTCAACACAACACCTCAGTCCATTTCTGGGCACCCGAACCAGGCTCATTGTTCTTGTGTGGAATTTCAAAGATGCTTATAAACACATTCATTCCTTCTGAAGTTTTATTTATGGTTTTTGTTAAACCTTTGCTCTGAAATTTGCCATTTTAAACACTCCCTGACTGAATAAGATTTATATGGGTTCCTCGCACAGAAGTTACCTGTAATGAACATAGCCAAAATCAATTTAGTGAGTCTCAGGAGAAGCTAACAACTCATTTTTTATAGAGAGAGGGTTTCCTTGGCAAGGGTAGAAAGAACAGGAGGACCCCAGAAGTTTTTGCTTTTTAAGAGAATGCCGGCATTGGCCACAGCTCTTACACAGCACCGAATCACCTCCTTTCAGAACAGAGGTGGAAATGAGGGTTCCAGCCCCTTGGAAGGTCCACTCAACACAGTCAGGGGGTACATTCTAAAACTAGAACCACTGATTCAAAGGGAGCTGGAGAGGGTAGTGCAGGGGCTTGGGCAGGGCGGTTGGACACCGTTGCAAATGTATTCAATGTTCTAAAACCCCCATCTGCAGGAAACCTCACCCGCATTTTTTCAGGCCTTGTCAAATAAATTAGGAAATCTTTTCCTTTGATGATCAATGGTACAGCGATGACTTTGAATTCTTATTATCAGGCATTAGCAAGATAATGTTAGGTTTTGTTAAGAATAAAAATAATTTACCAATTTTCTTCTAGTAATTCTCTCTAGACTGCAAGAGGAAACTAATCACTACATAATTGTTCAATGACTCCTCTGGTCCATTCAAATCCATGGAATTGTTTAGAGTGAAAAAAAGGCAGAAGTCCCTAAAAGGACCCATTACCAAACTGCTGGGATCTGCAGCTTGGCAAGAAGACACAGTTTGGGCACGGGGGGTTGGGGGAAGGAAGCCAGGAAAACTAAAGAGGCTACGTTTGCCATAACTCAGTTCTCTTCTCTCAGTTCTTCCCTCTCTCCTACTCCCATGGGTGGGTGAACCCTTGCTGCGCTCCTAGCCTCTAGTCTCTACTCCTCTACCTCCCTAGTGCATTCTGCAGGAGGTCCCAAGGTCCAGGTGCCTCTCCTAATCCACAGCTCTAATTGAGTCCTTTCTCTGCTCAAAATCTTCAATAATTCCCAATCCTGCACACTATTTTGTCCATAGTTTTGAGATCTCGTAAGTACCATGGTTTAAAAAGAAGAAAACATTGAGACAAGCAGATTAGAGTGCAAATTGTAGCTCTAACCCTTAGTAGCTGTGTGATCTTGGATAACTTATATAACCTCTCTGAACCTTCAGTTCCTCACTTGTGTAATTGGAAGAATAATAGTTCCCACTTATTGGGTTGTAATGAAGATGAAGAGAAAGAATGCTGGGCAGTGCTTAACAGAATGCCTGGTGTCTAAGAAATCAGTAAAATATTACCTATAATTGTCATTACATTCTTTTCTATCAGTCCCTTGGTGATCTTATCCAATGCCATAGCTTTAATACTGTCTAAAGTCCTGGTGTGACACAGTGGGTTAATGCCTTGGACTGCATGGTTGCTTTGAAACACAATGTCAGCAGTTTCTACTCCTTGGAAACCCTATACAGGGTTGCTATGGATCAGAAATGACTCAATGGCATTTAACAACAACAAAGCCCAGTGTGATGCTGTAGAATAAGCACTAAACTGTAAGGTCAGTTTGAACCACTCCTTGGAAACCCTATACAGGACTGCTATGAGTCAGAACTAACTGTGCAGCACTTAACAACTTAACAATACCCAAAAAGGCCAATGTGATATCATTGCTGATGTCAGACAGATCTTGGCTGAAAATAGAGAATATTAGAAAGATGTTTACTTGTGCTTTATTGACTATGCAAAGACTTTTGATTGTGTGGATCGTGACAAACTTTGGGTAACATTGGGAAGATTGGGTATTCCAAGAAGACTTCATTGTGCTCATGAGGAACCTGTACATAGATGTTCAAACAGAACATGGGGACACTGAATGGTTTAACATCAGGAAAGGTGTGTTTCAGGCTTGTATTCTTTTACCATAATTATTCAATTTGTATGCTGAGCAAATAATCTGAGAAACTGGATTCTATGAAGAAGAACATGGCATCAAGAGAGTTGTCATGTTCTTCTTCATAGCAACCTGTGATATGCAGAGTATACAACCTTGCTTGCTGAAAGCAAAGAGGACTTAAAAATCAAAGACCACAGCCTTCTTTATAGGTTGCACCTCAATGTAAAGAA